GCTTCTCATGACTGCACCCGCACCTGGCAGATGCGTGAAGGAACGTTCCAACAACCCCTGGGTCCGTTGGTGGCTTGGCATTCACTGGACAGGCCGCCATCTCTGCTTTACTTCCAAGTGTTTCTTTTTTGTTGACATTTTAAAAATTGGGACAAGATACGCCTACATAAAATTCACCACCTTAACCATTTTAAGTGTACGCAGTTCAGGGACCCTAAGCACATTCGCTTTGTTGTGCAGCCATCACCTCTAGAACTTTCCATCCTACAAAAGAGAAACTCTGTCCCCATTACACATGCCCCCCCCAGCCCCTGGCACCCCACTCTCCCTCCTATCTCTGTGGACATGACAGCGCTAGGGACCTCGCATGAGCGGGATCACTCAGGATTTATCTTTTTGTGTCTGCGTATTTCATGCAGCACCACACCCCTGAGTCCAAGCATGTTGTATCAGACTCTCCTCCTGTTCAAGGCTGAACCATCTTCCACTATGTGGATGGCTTCCTCGAGTTTATCTGCTCACCTGGGGGTGAACTATTTTCAGGTCTGGGACCCCGTTTCTTGCTGGCTGCATCCCAGAGAATCCAGGCAACAGTGTCAGCAAGCTCAGTGTCCTACACCCAGCTGTCAGGAGAGGCCTCTGTGGACTTCCACCCAGTGGTCCCTATATGTCACAGAAGGGGCAGGTGGGCCAGAGCCACTATTGGGATGATGTGGCCAGTTGGCCCCTGGACGTCTGCCAAGGGGACCCCCTGTATCTCCCTTTGGGTCTCCAAGGAAGGAAGCTTCTGGGCCCGGTGGGCAGCTCTTCACCAGATCTACTCTTGGTCCAGGGCTGGTCCCCAGCCACAACGTGCATGCCTGGAATTCTCTCTCCCAAGTCAGTGAAAAACAAAACACACTGTCCCTGGTCCATCAGCAAACTTCCTGGAGCAAGACGGTCGGGGTGGTCTCGGAGTTCGGGGCTGGCCAGGCTGGGAGAAGCCGTCTTCTGCACATGGAGACGGCATCACACATGACCCGAGGGGCCCAATGGACCTGCTGTGTCTTGGTGCAATGACTGTCGATGTCCACAAGCCCCTTCCCTGTACGAGGTAGCTGCTGGCCAAGTGGCTTTCGAGAGGTGGATGCCTGTCCTCACTCTGCGGCCTGGGCCCTCCAAGGGGACCACTAGGACATCTCCTTCTCACCTAAGATGTGAGGGAGCAGGAGGCCAGATGGCGGGAGGGCCGGGTCGGCTTCCTGGACTATAGTGGGCAGCAGAACCTGGACTCGCTGAGGTCCCAGGACTCTCCGGGTGGTGCTTACACGAAACAGCCTGAGGCGGACCCATCTTTGGCCAAATTATTTGTCTCCCCCCAACCCCGGACCTTTGTAACATATAAGGAAAGGCCTGGGGTGTCTGAGGTCAGGGAGCATCTAGTTGGCTTCTGCAGTGTAACAAGCTGCCCCCAAGTTCAGTGGCAGGTGGCATTTGTTCACTGCCACTGGCAAGCCTTTGGTGACATCGGGTCAGGCCAGGCGCTCATCTCTTCTCCCTCCATACATGATTCCTGTCCTCGTGGCCACATGACTGCCAAGCCATCTCATGTTCTGAGAGGGGAGACTGGGCTTCCCACAGGCCAATTCTAACAGGACAGTGAAGGGGCACTCTGGCAGAGGGCAGGCATTGCGAGGGCAAGCTCACGGGCAGCAGCGTGCTCTGTCCAGCTGCACCACCATCATGGGCCTGCCGGGTCCACCCTGGTGATCTGGGCAGCCTGCTGATGTCAGGGAGGTCGGTCATTCCAAATCCTGGCAGAAGTTTATCAGAATAAAGTGGCTTTGACTTCTTCGAGTGTAAACCGTCAGATATCTGGTGAGTCTGGGACCGGAAACAAACAAACACGCGGACGGAGGAGCTTGCCGTCCCTGGATAGTGGCACTCCTGGTGCCGAGAGGCCATGGGGGTAGGGGAGCTAGCCACGGGGAGACACCACGTCCTCAGGCCACAAGACCCTTAATGTCCCAACAGTCAATGTCCCTAAAGGCCCCTGCTGTGGACACCGCCCCCGACACGGGGCTGCTGGGGCCCTGCCGATGTCCAGGGCTGCAGACCCAGGACTGTCACCGGCATGAGTGTCCCAGGCCCCTCATCCTCTGCAGGCCACCAGGCACCCTGAGGGCGTGCGGGCTTTGAAATGTGGATGTGTCAAGGGGCCGGGCGGAGGCTCTCAGCCCTGGTGGGTAGGGTCGAGCTGAGGCCCCTGCCACAACCTGTGCACGTCAGTGTCCAAGAGAGATGTGGCAAGAGACCGCGGCAGGTGGCTGCAGGTCAGGGCTGCCTGCACAGCCGCTCTCTCTGCATGTGGGGAGTCACCACACAGAAGCAAGGAAGGGAAGCATTGGGGCTGCAGGCCCAGGGCGTGTCAGCATCTTCCTGGTCAGAGCCAGCCCCAGCCCTGGGTGACCTGCTTAATTAGTAATTAACACCTCCTGCTCTTTCTCTGAATGCACCCACCGGATGTGGAGGGAGGGAGAGCAGCTGCCAGAATTGCCCGCTGCCCACCTGCCTGGCGGTGGGTTCTGGGGTCCCTATGCTGTGGATACGGGGTACGAGGCTCATGCTGGCTCCCAGCCCCAGGCTCCCAGAAACAGCGTGGCTCTGCAGGCAGTGGGCAGACCCTCAGCTCTGGCCTGAGGTTTTGATTGACTCTGGAAGATTCTGACTTTTCAGTTTTATTTTTTAAGAGACAGTCTCACTCTGTGGCGAAGACTGGAGTGTAGTTTCATGATGAGAGCTTCCTGCAGCCTCAAATTCCTGGGATCAAGTGGTCTTCCTGCCTTGGCCTCCTAAGCAGCTGGAACTAGTGGCGGGTGCCATCATGCCTGGCTTTTTTTTTTTTTTTTTTACTTTTTTTGTGGAGAGAAGTTCTTGCTATGTTGCCCAGACTGGGGTTAACTCCTGGACTCGAGTGGTTCTCCTGCTTCAGCCCCCTAAAAATGCTGGAATTACAGGTGTGAGCTATTGCACCCAACCTGTCCTGATTCTGCAATAGTGCTTTTTGATTAAGTGATGAACATTGTAACTTTGGTTAAAAACAAATATTAAGAGAACAGATCTGGGCTAGTATTTCTTTCTTCTGCTGTGGGCTCAGTCCTGCAGGGCTGGTTCTGCTCTGAAGGGCCCCTCGTGGAAAAGGAGAGTTTAAGAATCAACTTCACCATTGTTCTCGACGCTTGTGCACCTGTGTGCAGTCGCTGCGGTCAGTCAGGACACTTCTGCCCTGAGCCCCCGCGACTGTCCTGGAGCCCAGCCCTGAATTGCTTCCTGTCCCCCAGGCCACCTGCAGCTGGGGGTTTGCGGATACGCAGCACAGCGTGTCTGGCATCAGCCCCACTGAGCACTGAACCGGAGCTTGTCCAGGCCGCGTGGCCAGTGCTCCGTCCTTACTCCTCAGTGCTGAGCACCCTCCGCTTCGGCCACCCCTCGCCGGGGAGACATGTGGGCTGTCTCCACTGGGGCAAGGGGGCTCCTGACAGAGGACGGGAGAAGCCGTTATGGGAGCGTCTGGGTCCAAGAGTCTGTGCAGGTGCCAGTGGGTCAGGACTCTCAGGTGATGCAGCCCCAGAGGCCCTGGTGGTCCCACAAGGGCTGCCCTGGGGGTCTCAGATGGGCACGGGGCTTGGGGGTTTTCTGAGCTTGGTCCAAGTTATGCTTGGACAGCTCCGCCCTGGGTTATGTCTCTGATTCACCATCCTCTGCACCTTCCGTGGGGAGCCGCTGTAGAGCCTGATGCCTCACGATCCCAGAGGCAGGAACCCTGGGGAAGGAGACGGCCCCCTCCAGCTGGAGTCAGCACGCGTTTCTGCAGGAGCAAGATCTCTTTCTGTTACTGAGTGAGGACTCGGTACTTGCCACATTGCTCTTTTGCCTCGACTGCGAGGAATCCCAGAGAGCGGTTCTGGATTGTTCGACCCTGATATCTGGAAGCTCTTGGCCCCCTCTTTGTATTTGGTGGGTCTTCTGCTGCTGTGTCTCAGTGTGCTTATTTAGCTGCCTCAAGACTTGGGGAGAACCGACCACTCTGACTGGCTGTGCTTGGCCTGGAGCTGACTCATGGAATGCCTCCTGCAGCGGCTGCCTTGCAGCAGTGATGCCGTGGCCCTGGGCCACAGCTGCTGCCTGGCAGATTTGTGCTATGCCAAGTGCCGTCCTATTTGCGGGGTGACCCGATGGGCGTGGGGAAGGCCCAGACGTCTCACGTGCTGCCTCTGCGGGCACTACCCATGGAGCAGAATCTGAATGTGGGGTGTGGTCTGGACTTTGGTGGGGTATGGCAAACAGCCTCATCCCTCTCCACAGCCAGGCAGCTGCAGAAAAAGCCTGGCTGGCATGGTCCTTTGCATCCTCTAGCCCCGAGTTGTGTGGTCGCAGATGACCAGAGGGAAAGACCCCAGGCAGCCAGCCAGAGTCCTGCCCAGGGCCCCTGTGGGCACATGGACGCTCCTCCTGGACTTGGGTCTCAGCAACCCTCGCCCTGGGCAACTTAGGGCCAGTAAGATGCTGCCAGCAGAGACCTGAGGGGCACACCAGGACTGGGATGCTGCTCTGAGGTGACAATCCCAGAGGGCCATGGCCACGGAAAACCAGGGCTCCTCTGGGAATCAAGGCTGGGCCCAGCATCCCTGTTTGTGGGGACATGGCACTCCAGCCCACCGGGCTCACTGCACCCAAAGGCCAGTGGCCCCAACAGTCTGCAGCTCATGCAAGACTTGCTGGGGACGGCCAAGATGGGGAGTCAGCTGGGGTGGCTCAAGGCGAAGGCAGGGGCACCCCACACAGGCGGCACCAGGCAGCAGGCTCCCTCATGGCATGGTGGCCAGGTCCCAGGGAAGAGGACGGGCACATCGAGGGGAGCAGTGTGGGACTGGAGCTGTCAGAGCAGATGCCATCCTGGGGTAGCCACAGCGAAAGATGGAGCCTCCCTGAAGCGGCCCACACCGAGGAGAGCACCCAGGTCCACAGAACAAGAGCCACAGCCCGAGGTGGGCTCGTCTTTATTGAAAACACAGCCACAGAGCCCAGTTCTGTGCACGTACAAGCCCCCAGCAGGATCTCCCCATGATGGCTGGGAGGCAGTGTGTTGTCCAAGGAGGGACACACAGGTGATAGCCAGGCCCTTCGACAAATGCAGGCAGGTGACCAGAAACTTACAGTCCACCTGGCAGATGGAAGTGCAGGACCACCGCCAGTGGGATGGCTCACATTACCCAATTTATAAAACATCTCAGTTGAAAAATAGACCTTTCCCTCGAAGGTAACCTCCTGGGGCTGGAGGGCTCTGGTTATTTCAGTGGCAAGTTCTGTTCTAAAGAGATCAGGCCCAGTAGTCACCATCTGCAAACACTAAGTCTGGCCAAGGAGGCTGGGGTGTGGGATCCTTGCCAAGCCATGGTGCTGAGAGGGATGTGGGCCTTTGGAGCTGGACTTCTTGCCCAGCGGCAATGCCACCCACCTCGCTAGGCCCCAGCCCCCACCCCCAGGAGGAGGGTGGCAGCAGCACTTGTACAGTCCCAGGACGTCCTGTGGTGGGGCCCGCCACCCATCCTGCCAACCACCTGCTAGGAGAGCAGCTGCAGCACCTGCCGGATGCGCTGGGCCTTCCCCAGCAGGAGGGAATCTGGACCTCCGGCACCCGCCTCATCCAGCTCCCGCATCAGGGCCTCGGCCTTCTGCACCGTCAGCTCCCGGGCACGGCCCTGCAGCCCCTCCAGGTAGGCCAGCAGTGTGGAGAAGTGCTCGTCGGGGACCTGGATGGGTGGAGACAAAATGGGTCAGTAGATGCTTTGGGGTTAGCTGGGGTCTGCCTGGGGCCTCAGGTTCAATGCATCCTCACGCTGGCGCCTGAGGACATGGACAGCCAGGCAGCACTGGTACCGGACATTCAAAGAAAGCCTCTGATCTCAGTCAGAGACCAAACACGCACACTACAAGCAACCTGGCTAGAAGGGAGGCCATGCGGGGAAAAGAAAGTGCCAAAATTCATCATCAACATCCTCGGAAAACTGAGAAAGTAAATGACACTTGTAAAACAAGACTAGGCAGACATTCTCAAGGCTAACCAAAGAGCCATAGTCCCATCAACACCTTTCCGTATTGTCTTTCTGACCAGGGTCAGCACAGTTGGCGAGGTGGCATCTTGCTGTGGCTTGACCTAAAGCCCTTGGTGGCTAGCCATGCAGGATCTTGGCACATGCCTGCTGGTTGCATGTGTATCGCTGGAGAACTGTCTGCTAGGATCCATTGCCTGTTGGGAAGCTGGGCTGTCTTCTTATGACTGAGCTGGTAGTTCTTTTTTTTTTTGAATTGGGGTCTCACTCCATTGCCCAGGCTGGAGTGCAGAGGCTCACTCAAGGTCACTGCAGCCTTGACCTGCTCGGCTCTGGAGATCTTTCCACCTCAGCCTTCCAAGTAGCCAGAGCTACAGGCGTGCGCTACCACGCCCAGTTAAATTTTGATTTATTGTAGAGACGAGGTCTTGCCAAGTTGCCTGGGCTGGTCTTGAACCCACAGGCTCAGGCAACCCACTCACCTTAGCCTCCCTAAGGGTTGGGATGACAGTCTGAGCCATCGAGCCTGGCCTAGAGTTCTAACTTGATCTACGATTTGCAAGTATCTCCTTACATCCTGCAGGTGTCATCTCACTTTCCAGGTAGTTCCGTTTGCAGCAGTCTTACATTGTGATGAAGGCTGATTTTTCCACTTTTCCTTATGTGACTTATGCTTTTGGAGTCATATTTAGGAAACTGCTGCCTGACCCAAGGTTGTAAAACACACTTCTACGTTTTCTTCTAAGAGTTTTAGTTTTGGTGGTTTCTTTCACCCATGCCACCTTTGGCATTTTGCCATTTCTTTTCTCCCTTCTTTTTGTAATAAACTTTGTTTGAAAACTTTAAAGAAGAGCGTTTTAGTTTTAGCTCTTAGATGTAGATCTTTGGTCCATTTTGAGTTACAGTTTGCATATAGTATGAGGTAGGGTCCACCTTCACTAACTAGCGTATGTGCAAATGTGTAAGACTATCATGATGTTTTTGTGTGTGTTGTGTATATACACACATATAAATGGTTTTGTCTAGCCAAGGATTTTTATCAGTATAAAAACTTTTGTATGAAGTTTGCTTTTGATAACAGTAATATTACAAATAGAACTATACAAAGTCATGCTAAAAAAAATTAAAAAATGTAGAAATCCAGTTGTCCCAGCACCATCTGTTGAGAAGACAACACTTTCCTGCTTAGTGCTCCTGGTACCCCTGTTGGAAGCCAGCTGGCACAGCTTGCTGCTGGGTTGTCTATTCACTCCACCAGTACACATTTCTAGCCTCGTGCCAGCACCCGTGTCTTGAGTACTGGGGCTCTGCAATAGGGTTTGCACATCTCTGACTCTGTTTTTCTGTTTCAAGATTTTGGCTGTTATGTCCTTTGGCCTTGAAACCAATGCAGGGAAGTAAACAGTGGCCCGTGCCTGGGGTGTCCTGGTTCCACGTGACCGGCAGGCAGGACCCCTCTTGGAGTTGTCTGCAGACACAGGCACACACAGGAAAAAACTCTGTACCACCCGCCCCTGCCCCCACAGCACACGCAGTGCATCAGCAAGCCTGGCACCCATGACACTCACAGTCAAGAACGTTGGCTTAGCAGGAAGCGCGGGCGGCCCTGCAGGTTCACAGGCTCCACAGAGTTGTGGACCTGGGCAGCCTTGGCATGGACACGGGCAAGGCCAGCCCACCTCCCAGCTGTTGGGTTTTGTTTTAAATTTGATGTTGTCTCATTCTGAGAAACAAAATCTTATCTCCTGCTCCCAAAAAGATACACACACACACACACACACACACACACACACACACACACACACACACACAGAGAGAGGTTGACCTGTGTGTGCCTCTGCCCCAGAGGCCAGGAGCGAGGCTCCTGATGGAGGGTCCATCTCTTAGAACAAGGGCACTGGGAAGACCAGCCCACAGGGGACCCTCAGGGCAGCCCTTTCAGGTCTTGGCCTCTGTGGCCAGGGCCCCAACGTGCACAGACCTTGTCGCCATCATACATATGTAGAAGGAGCCACGTCTGCCTCGTCTTCTGAAATCTCCAGTTCTCGTGCTTTCGGGCCCAGCTGGGGAAAGCAAGACAAACATCTCAGGGTGCCAGATGAAGCATCCAGAAGGTCTGTCAGCCACAACTGACTCGGTGGCCTCGTCTCAGGGGAAGGCGCCTCTGTCCTGCTCAACACAAAGGCCGTGTGTGTCACGGAGGCTGGGGAGAGCCCTTTCCTGCCTGAGGTGGAGGCCATGTCTGCGAGGGCCATAGCACACAATTGCACAGGCGACCTGGATGGGGCATGTGGCAGCCTGTACATTTGGCACGAGTTCCTTCAGTCTATCTGGAGCATCCAAAGCCATACGGAACCAACCAAGGAGGACCAGATGGCTCAGAGCCACCCTCTTTGCTCGGCAATTCTGGGTGGCGTCCACTGTGCACTATGGCATAGTCCCTGGTGGGGAGATAAGCCCAGGTGGGGCTGGCTGTGCTCGTGGGCAAGCCTGCACTCCCTACCACTGGGGCACAGAGGGCTGTGGACCCCAGTGTGCACGTGGAGGGTGAGGAACCCTGGGCGTGCCACGATGGTGGCTGCAGATGCTGGGGCTATGTGGAGGAAAAACAAGAGAAGGTGGTGCTTCCGCCAGGCCCCCCAGGAGAGACCCACACACAGGTCGTCCAGTCAACCTCGGATGGAGCTGTGTGGCCCCTGGGGGAGATCCGGGTGTCTGAGGCCCAGGGACAGAGTCGTGGTGGTTGCAGGGAGGGTGAAGGTAGAGGCCGGCAGGGAATGGTTTGCACCCTGTCCACTATGGGGGCATCTGACTGTCCCTGTGGCTACGGGCACAGAGGAGGCGCCCACTCGCCTCTTCTCAGGGAGACGGGCAACCAGGCCCTGCCAACCCACCCGGCTGTTCTCTCTGGCTCAGCCTCTGTGCCTCATTGGCGCTGTTTCATCCACTGCCACCAGAGCAAAGCCCAGCCCCATCGCCATCACCTGGCACAGAAGCCCTTCACAGGGGTCTCGGGCAGGGTCTGGGAAGTCAGTCCTATCTTTCAGGGTGCAGGCGGCACAGCCATAGCGTCATCTTGTGGCAGACTGACCTTACCTCTTAAGTACCAATGCACCTTTAAGGCAGCACACTGGAGGTTCCAGATGGGTACCCAGGTGCAGGGTCTATGCTCAGCCTGGACCGGCCCCACAGCCCCGGCTAGTCCCGAAGAGGGGAGGCGGTGAGAATGCAGGAGAGAGCCAAAGAAGGCAGGCAGCTGGGGGAGGTGGAGAAAAGGTAGTGGGAGGGGAGACGTGAAAGGAGAGGGGACAGGCAGTGGGAAGGAGGGGGAACTGACAGCAGGAAGCGGGTGCCCGGGTGCAGAGGGGACAGAAAATGGGGAAGACAGGGGACAGGAAGCAGGAAGGAGGGGGGAGATGAAATGGAAAGAGGGGAAACAGGCAGGAGGAAGGAGGGGGCAGGAAGCGGGAGTGAGAGAGGAAGGGAAAGGAATGAGAGGAGGGGAGACAGGAAGTGGGGAAGAGGGGCCGGCAGTGGGGAGGGGGGACAGGAAGAGGCAAGGAGAGGGGACAGGCAGCAGGACTGGGAGTGGGAACAGGAGGGGCAGGCAGTGGGAAGAAGAAGGGGAGGGGAGTGGGAACGAGGGAGGACAGAGGTGAGTGGGGGTGACAGGCAGTGGGAAGAAGGAGACAGGGAGCAGAAGGCGGGAGGATGGGAAGCGGGAACAAGGGGCGGAGAAAGGGGGGCAGGCAATGGAAAACATGGGGAGACAGGCAGCAGGAAGGAAGGAAGAAAGATAGGAAGTAGGAAGGAGGGCGCAAGGAAGTGGGGAGGAGGGTAGGGAATAGGGAGAGGAGAGAGGCCGCAGGGTCCAAAAGTGAGAATGAGGGGGCCAGGAAGGAGGGAGGATGGGCGGAGGGGATAGGAAGGTGAGGGGACAGGCAGTGGGAGGGAGGGAGGGGCGCCAGTCCCGGGTGTGCTGCCGCCTGTCCTTGGCCCCTTGGCCCCCCTGAACGGGGGCTGGCCTGGCTGGGCAGGTGGGCAGGAGGGGCTGCAGGGTTATTCAGGGACTCCAGGAAGTGCCGCGGCCCTAGGGACCTCCCCCTGTGACCAGGCACCTCCCTCAGCCCAAATCCCCCCTCCCACCCTTGCGATGTTCCTTGGCCAGGAGGCTCCAGGCCAGGAGAAGGTGTGGGAGAGACAGACAGGGAGGGCCTTCCTTCGTGGTTCCTGCAGTGCCTTTGTGGACCCTATGCTTCGAGGGCTCTGCCACACAGGGGCCCTAGTGAGACCCAGTGCGAGGCCCCGGGGCAGCTCCTCCACTTCCCTGAGATCCAGTGAGCAGGAGCTCCATCCGCAGGGTCTGCACTGTGGCTCGGCTTGCCCGCAGGCCATCTCAGCCCGGGGTGGGGCCACCTCAGCCCGGGGTGGGGCCACCTCAGCCCAGGGTGGGGCCGCCTCGAGGCTGCTGTCTACATCCTCCAGAGCGCCCTCATCTCACAGCCAAGACCTTACAGCTCACTTCCCTGTAATAAACTTTCCCCACTCAAGTGACTGTGGTTCCGCTCCTGACTGCACCTGGTTCTCCTGCCCAGGCCTGAGATGATCCAGAATACCCTCCCTTCCCATCCTCTTTCCTTTCGCGACCCGCCCCCCGCCCCCAGTGCTTCCTACCAGTCCCTCAGGGTGGGAACGCAACTGTGCTCCAGAAGACATCCTGACTCCCACCCTACTAGGTTGAGGCTCCTCCCAGGAAGGTGGAGAAATGAGAGGCCCCCTCAATGCTGCCAGATGACACGCGCCACATGCCTGAATGGTGCCCTCCTGTCCCACCCAGGGCTGCAGTCTGGTCACGTCCAACCCCTGCAGTGGCCACCAAAGTCCCTGAGGAGAGGTTGGGGTCGCCTGGGGTCACAGAGACTTCCAAGGCCCTGACACTGCGTACCCACCCGTGTGCAGACCCCCACCAGCCAAGTGTGCCAGAGAGGACCCAAGACATGCAGCGATGACTAGGACGAGAGCCCCAACGAATGGCCAGGTGAGAGGACCCCTCCTCGGGGGGTCAGCCAGAGATCAGTCAGACTCTTCCATGCCCTCAAGAGCCATCAGGCTGCACGGCTGCATGCATCTCAGGGTGGGGAGGAGGACAGCCGAGACAGATGGGGTGGCGTGGCCCTCGCCAGTCCCTGGGACCCATGGTCACCCTGAGCCTGGATGGCGGGGCTCTACCCTCTCAGCGGCTGCTGACCAATGGTGGCTCCAACAGACTGGAGTTCTTGGCACCTGTGAGGCTTCAGATGCAAGTTCTGCCACTGCCTGGGCTCCAGCCCACAGCCCACCCAGAGGTGCAGCCAGCCCCGGGACAAAGGGCCAAGCCAGCCGTGCTGCCTGTGGGCTCTGACCCCCAGGGAAGCACCCCGGCAAGGCTTGCCCTTCAGCCGAGCTTCTGGCAGCGTCCTCTGTCCTCAGAGCCTGTGAACGGGCCTCTCCTTACACCCATGTCCCTTCCCGAATGCCGTCATCCTCAAGACCATCCTCCGGGCCCCTTGCTGAGAAGAGCCAAGGGGCCCTCCTCAGCCCCCACGGGCGCAAGGCCGATGTAGGCTACCCCTCCCGGGAACGGGGGCTCCTGCGGCAGGACACGGAGGTGCTCGAGGGCAGAGCTCACAGGACGTAGCTGGCAGCGGGCCCTGCCTTTGCCCCCCAACGGTGGCGCTCGAGAAGCTGCCCCTCACTGCAGGAGGCTGCCCCCAGAAGACTGAGTAGGACACGTGCCTCCTGGTGCCTGGAAGGGGCCTTATGAGGTCCTTAGAGGCTCGGGGCTGTGGCCTCTTGCTGCGGCGGGCAGGATCTGAGCTGGCCTGGCCACGTGCCCCATCGCCCCTGGGACCCGCCTCTCTACACAGCATTACTTGTTCTATCTGGTTCCCTTCGTTCTGCCTACACTGAGCTGGAAAAGAGCCCCTCCACCGCTGCCCCCCACCCACTGAGACCTGCTGCGATCTGCCCTGAGTCAGCCCATCCTGGGGGTCACGGCTGCTCCCAAGCCCCACGGGGGACCCCTGTCCCAGAGCCAAACTTTGTGTGGGGGAGGAGGGATGCGGCTGAGGAGTCTGTGGGGAAAGTGACTTAACTGAAGACATTGTCTCTAAGGAAACAGTAGATGTTAAGGAAGAATCCCCACCTTTTACTCATGCAGATTCCTAGGTCCCAGGCTCTCATAACAGGAAGTGGGGGGGGCAGGGAGTGTGAAGGGAGCTAAGGGGCTGCTCCCGGGCCACCCCACCCCAGGGAGAGTGGAGGCTCCCGGATGGGGCAGGTGGAGACCCAGCAGGCTGGAGGCGGGGCTGTGGCAGGGCAGGGCCATACGGGGTCTGCCTGGAGCTCTCTTCCCAGGATGTGCCACAACCCTGGGAAGGGAAACCCCCGGGAGCCTGTTTCTAGTGTTGGGGGCGGGTTGCAAGGCCAGCACGGCAGCTGGGACAGGGCAGCCCAGTGTGAAGGTGGCAGAAGGAACGTCCTGAGGACACAGGCTCGGCGGGAGCTGGGGCCCCTCGGCCAGTCAAGGGCAGTCAGCCTGGGCCAGCCACCCCATCTGCTCCTGGAGAAGCTTGTGGCCTAGCAGCCCCCACAGCAAAACATCCATATCTATGCGGCATGCCAGCCCCACGTGTGCTGACGCTCAGCCCCTGCGTGACCAATGCAGTTTCATTTCCACGCAGAAGCCCCACGTGTGGGGTCAGCAGGGGTGGCCCTGCTGCAAACTGCGAAGGCCGGGAGGCACGGCAGGGCGTCGGCCCGCAAGGAGCCGTTCCACCACCACGCAGCAGCAATCTGCACCTGGCTCTGCCGCCTCCTAGTCCTGCAGCCCCGAGCTGGGGTTCTCCACAAGCCTCAGCAGGCACAGTGACCCTGCCTCCCTGGGGCTCCCCACGTCCACACATGGCAAGTCGGGTGCAGCTGCCCCAGGAGGAGGTGGTCACCTGGGCACTCGCCCTCCTGCTCAGCCCAGCCCTGCACCGGCGGCAGCCCTTTCCTGAGCTCCCAGCAGGGAGGCTCGAAGCCGAGCCAGGCCCCCACCTTCGTTGCCACAGGACAAGCAGATTCTGCTTGGGGCCTCTCCTGGGGGGCAGGCACCGCAGGTGGAGGCACCCAGCATCACCCTGTGGCTGTGGGTAGCGTGGGTTCTCCTGGCAATGGACACTGCACTGCCTTTTCCGGCAGCTCTGGAGGATAGGGTCCCTGTCCAGGGGCCTGGGGTAGGTTCTGTCCAGAGTAGCACATCCAGGCCACCCTGCAGGAAGCAGAGCCTGGCAAGATGCCGTCCTTGCAGACAGTTTTGCTGCTGCTTCTGAAAGAACTGGAAGACCCTGAGCCATTCGACAAAAACAGCAGCAGCACCAGCACAGGCCTGGTAATGTCCCCATTGCTCTAGAACCTTCCACACAGCATGCAGGTGCAGGTGTAGAGTCCCCGTTCGCAGCACTGGCTGATTTCCGTGGTTTAAACACCCTAGCTTGGCAGGAGTGAAGGGGTGGTAGGGGGATGGGTGAGGGTATGGGGTGGGGCTTTCTTACTTGCAGAGATAGTCCAGGGCCAGCTCCGCCCCTGAGCGCCTGGCTGGGGGGTCCTGGGCAACGACGCCCGACTCCCGCAGACGCTGCCTTTCTTCCTTCTTCCGTTCCTTTTTCAGCTTCCTTTCGAGGACCCTCTTTTCCTCCGGGGACAGCTTGGGGCTCGCATCCTGAGCCACTACACCGTGCACTGCTCCTCCCTGAAAGTTGAGGAACAGCCTGTCAGGCTTTTGGGATGGACAGGGGTCTCCAAAGATGGGTGCTACTCAGTGTTCCCAGCTTCCCACCACAGCAGCCAAGCTCTGTCCCCGAGACAGGCATTGGCCCTGTAGACCCATCTGGGTCAGACCCGCGCCACGGTAAAGGTAGCTGGTCAGACGAGGGTAACCATTCTGCAAGGAAGCGTGAGTTTCACTTTGTTGGGCCAGGGTCTGCTGACCTCCTCAGGTTCGCGCATTCCCACCTGCATCTGCCAGTAGCAGACCCAGAAGACGCCCATCTTCCAGGCTCTGTGGAGGCTCAGCTGCACCAGGTGGGTAGGCCGGGCAGCCTACCGGAGGCAGGAGGCATCCTTTCCCAAGGGGTGTGAGCCCCCTTCCACACGCCCACCAGACAGTGGCCATCCCAAAGACCGTCTAGGCACCTCTCCTTGTTTCTTGTTTCTTGTTTCTGCTCAGCTTTACCCTGGGCCACAGGCTGCAGGGCATCTGGGATTTCCTGTGCTGACCCCAGGGGAAGGCCAAGGGCTACACGGACTGCAACTCTTGCCTTGAATCACTGCTTCCCAGCCACTTCCCACCAAGAAAGCACTGCGCCTCCCACCCTGCTCCGCTCAACAGACAAAAGAGGGCACCCCCTGAGGCCAGTGGCGGCTGGCTGCTGTCAAGGGAGAGGCCGCAAAGTGACCTGTGTTATCCACATGCCTTGTCTTTCCTGGAAGAGCGGGAACATCAGTGTTTGTCCTGAGCATGGCTGGGAGCCACGGGGACAGGGTGGACCAGGTCCCAGCCACACCCACTCATGTCTCCAGGAAGAGGAAGCACCCCACCTGCACGGCCCACCCCAGGGGAAATCAGCAGAGCAAGCCCCCTCCTGCCCTCCCCAGCAGGTCGCCTCATCGCCTCACAGAACACCAGCCCCTGGACACAACCTCCACGTCTCCACTCAACGTGGGCTCCTTCCTGAACCTTCTAGAACCAGAGAGCTGCTCTCCCAGCACCTCCTCCTTCAGCGGACCCAGGATTTACAGCAGCAGGAATGCAGGGGCTGCCCAGGATGCTCCCGGCGTCACCAGGGAAGGGCTGAAGACACAGACCTAGCTCTCGAGCAGGCGCACGCGCGCGCGCACACACACACACACACAAGCATGAGCTTGTGCGCGCGCGCACACACAGCCTGTAGGGGACAGAGTCCATAGCGAGACGCCTGAGAAGCCCAGAGATGCGGGCAGGTCTGGACTTTTAAGTTGGATTTGCTGGGGCCTGAGGAGTGAGGAGTCTGATGAGCAGGGCGTCATGAACACCCATGGGGGCCCGTCTTTGCCTGGAACTGGCTGCCCAGCTCTGACCCGTGCTGCGCCCACTTCCTAGGCCTGTGGCCAGCTGCTCAGTGGGCACTGCATCAAATCTGGCCCTGAAGAGAAGCAAAAACCTTCCAGCACTGGTCCAACCTCTGCCCCGCATGGGCCACCCAGGCTGCTTGCTGCAAAGCACCTGAGCCAGTGTCCAGCTGGACCTTTGGGTTTGGTGGAGAGGCCGTAGGGCTGCCTGAGGGTCTGTCAGCAGTGACCCCAGGGGGCCTAAGAGCATCTGCCTCTCTGCATAATGAGGCCCCCTGGCATCACGGCCCCGGTACTGCAGGACGTGCCCTGTCTGTGCCCACAGCACCTTCCAAACACAACTCCCAGCCTCTGGCCCAGGGGTGCTGGCTGCTGGCCCCAGGCTGGTCATGCCAAGGTACTCTGACCTCTCCCCAAGAGCTCCTAGAGCCTCTGAAGGCCTGGCACTGCCACCAGGATGGAAGTCCACATTCACAGGGCACGGTAGTCCCTGAGGGTGGGCAGGGCCCCACGGCAGGGCCATGGGATGTAGGCTAGAGAGGCGAGGCCGAGGATGTGGGTGGCCACGGCAGGGATCTGGATGCTGGCCTGGGGTCGCCAGCAAGGGGGACCCAGGCAGCACCACCCAGGACAGGTGACTTGAGGGGCCTGCAGCTCCCAGCTGTTTCTCCAGGGTTTCCAGAGTGTCCAGCCTTGGGGCCATAGCTGGAACATGGCAGGAAAACAAATCTGAAACTACAGAAATCACTTCTTTAACACCAACTGTCACTTCCGGCTGCCAGCGCCCTGACCCAGCAGCGGTCAGAGCCAGAGCTCTGTGCCCAAGAAAGCTGAGTGCATTTTGGAGAGAAGTCATTCTCGGAGCAGCAAGAAGGGTCAGGCGGGTCACACCAGGGATGCAGTTGCCTGGTGTGCACACACCCTGGACACAGGCCCCAAGTGACAGGCCTCTCAAGGTGTACTGGATGCTGAAATAGATAGCTGGAGTCTCATGAATTTTAAGTGCTGGCAATTCTAAGCAAACAATGCATGTTGCGTAGGTCAAAAAACACATCCAGGTGGGAGCCAGGTGAGGAAGCCGGCATGTGCCCAAGACCTCTGACCCCTGGGCCAGAGAAGACAGACACACCCTGCCGTGGCCTGCTGGGGTCCCGGGGAAGTGGGCCTGCAGCAGGGCCCTCCTGTCGGACCAGTGGGACAGGACTGTAGGTGATCCAGCCCCACCCCCTTCCCCAGGGATGCCCGCCTCTGAGTCTCCTCCAGGAGAAGGGCCCCTTTGCCCCTCTCAGGGCTGTTGTCCCTGCCCGTGTCCCTGGAACAGGGAACACAGTGGTGGTCCACCACCTCTGGCTGTGGTTCCTGCCCTGCCCCTCAGGTGTCCCTTGAGGAGAGAGGAGAGTGGAGCTGCCGTTCCAAATGAGTGTGTGTATGGGGGGTTCAAACCCATCTACCCCAAGGGAGCTTCCCCGGTGCTCCTCTAGTGCACTGGGAAGGCCGGGGCTCCAGGCTGGGATCCTGTGGATGCACGGGCAGGAGACCCCACCCATGGATTTAGAGCTGACCGGTCTGGTGCCGGGCTTCGTGCTGGGCCTGAACACAAGCCAGGCAGACGGCTCTGGAGCTGCCCACCGTGGGCACCACGAGGTGAGGAGCGCAAGGGGCAATGCCAGTGCCATGGGCTGCCCCTGACACTGGTCAGCGGGCACCCAACTCTTCTCAAGTCAGTGGCCTCACGAACCCAAGAGATGACTTCAGTTAAAAGACCAAAACCTGTGCTCTCCATCCTCGGCCTTAACCAATGCAGAGCGGGCTGCAGTCAGGGAGGCTGTGCTGGGGTGGCCATGGGCCTCTGGGTGGCTGGGCTCTGCTTGCGGACCCTGCCAGTCCCTGTGCCAATGCCCGGTGCTCTGGGAGCGCTGGCAGTTCTTGCGTGCACCAAGCGAGCCTCAGCAGTCCTGGGGACAGGGGCAGGCTCTGGAGGGTGCTCACTAGAGGGCAGAAGATAGCAGGTTCAGAGCAGGTTGACCACACGGGGGGAGGGGCAGCGGGGGCCTGCCAGGCTGGGACAAGGCCCTTCGGAGGCGGCCGCCGCCCAGTGGTGGCCTGGGCAGCATGGGCTGAGGACAGTGGGAGCAACACAGGCTGGCTGTCACCACACATTGGCTGAACCTTCCTCTGAGAGCAAAGGGTCTGCAGTTGCCGCCCTGGGTAACTCCACAGAATGAGGTTCTAATTAGCAAATAACAGTTTTAACACACTTGCCAGGATCACAGTCGCCTCCAAAGTTATTTCATTTACAAGCTGCCCAGGGCTTGTAAACAGCCTATGTAAACAACAAGGAAGTTTAAGAAGAATGCAAGAGTCAAATAAAAACCCCTGGGGGTGCCTTCTGGGTACTCAATTTTCTGGGAAGGGAAGGCCCAGAAGGCGAAGCCAGGGTTTCTGTGGCCAGAGGTGACTCAAGGCCTCCTGCCGGCTCCAGGAGGTCAGGACCCCGGGCTGTCCGGGAGCCCTCTCGACTCAGTGTCCACCCCACGGACCTGGCAGGCCAGGGTAGATCTGGTGGGGTAGCTCTGAATGGAAACTACGAGGGTGAGATTGTCCCTTGTAACATCACCGCTTTCAAAACACAGATGACACCTGCCCATGAGAGGAAGCACTCCCAAGCTACACGCGTATCTCAGGTACACGACGCACTCCGCCCAAGGTCCCCAACCATTCCTCTCAGGGCAGGTCCAAAACCTCAAGAAGTACAGTCATTTCAAGGTTGTTCCAGTCTCTGGCATTCTAGAGTTGATGAAACAGAATTTCATACTAAGTGAAGTAAAAACCAAAGTTTCAGCAACGTGCTCTCTCCTCTGCAGTTAGATGTCTTGGGGATCACACTTTAAAATGCACAAACAAATCCAGCATGCACGGAAGACCTCAGGTAGGACATGCCCACACTGATAAACTACAGACACCCTGGGACCAGGATGGGGACAGTAGGCAAGGGACCTTAATAGCATGCATGCTGTCTGTTGGTTTTATGACGAGGATGATTTCATGGATCATATCCAGCAACGGGCACTTGCTTTCAGGGCAGTGATTATGTTGCCTACCTTCAATAGAGAAGTTGAAAATAACACAAAACACAGTTGACTGGAAGGCGCAAAGTGGATTAAGCAATGAGTTGACACTGTTGAGCAAACAGGATTGCATGGAATAAATGTCCTTTTCTTTGACCCCTGCAACTCCTGGCTGGAGACAGTGAGAGGAAACGACATGAGTTTGATTTGAAAAGCTTCCCACAGACGCAACTCAGGCAGAAGAACCTACGCGGTATCCCCAATGGGACCACAAACACGGGGCCCTTCTGGAGATATATCCAGGCAGAGGACACCAGCTGGTCACCCCCAACCAAGAGAACAAGCGAAAAGCCAGCCACAATGGCTCCCCAGTGAGACGAAGCACGGGAAACAGGGGAGTGCTTGGAAACATGGAAGAAACATACAGCAGGATCTCATCAGCACACCTGATGCCGGTGCAGGCCCAGGGCCCCTGCATGGGGCTCCAGTTCTCACTGGTTCTGAATTTTCTTCACTGATTATCACGCTCTTCACCCTGCAGAGACACAGGAGCCTGAGCTGGGACCCACACCCC